TCGCACTTTTATAGCAGCGTCTTGCAATTTTGTCTCATCTAACGGCAAATCCTCTTGTTTTATTTGCTTCAAAGTGACCTTGATAAATCTTTTCTTGCAAAAAAGGATCAACTGGTGATTTTGCTCCTTTCCGATGAGGAATCGAGATGCCCCATCGAACAAGTTAGGCAGTCCGAATCCAGCTGAAGAGCACCATGAAACACATCGTGACACAAGCTGCGAAAAGAAACCAAAAGGAACAAAACTTCCTGAAAAACGAAGGTACAATGGACAAAGTTCTGAAGGCAAAGGCTCAATTTTACAAAGATCGTCAGGCGGCGTTTGAAGTTGACAGGGTACAAAGTATATTTCGTTTCCAGGAGATATGGTAAACTTGACGATCAGTCCGAAGTGCTCCATCATGTCCAGAATATCTTCCTTGTGGTGGCGAAACTTGGTGGAAAACACATGATCAACAAGCTCCATTTCTAGGACACCTGTTTCCTCGATTTGTCTCCATAACTTTCGCTTTTTTGACTCCTAAAGGAAACCAAAAGTACCAGATAAATCGATCGCTACTCGCGAACCTATCAAAATTCCAACGAAGCATCCTTATTTATTTCTTGAGGTTCTTCTACAAACGAAATCAGAAGTCAAACGTTCTACATGATAGTTACAATTGTGCACACCAAAACCTTGGTGAAAAATCAGAGCAGGTTTCATATTTTGAAATTCGGGTCATTTAATCCATTCGCCCTTAAACTGCCCGTGCGGATCCACATCCCTTGTACTGCTTCACGTCATCAGTAATAGGGAGTTAACACAATGAGGACGACGACGGCAACGGGAGCGGCAAAAAAGCAATAGGTTTAGACAAGAAAAACAACAACTTGGCACGTGCATCACGCTTTTTTGTACATTTCTCTGCCGTCTTTGCACGACTACAACGTGAAACTGCCTAATTTCACGTTTTGTCGAGGACGGGAACAAAAGACAACAACTATCTTTTTCTTTTCCTGAACTTTGATGCACTCCGTTAGAATTCAACTCCAAAAAAATTTGCCAACATTTGACAAATTAAACGAGATGGAATAAGCGCGATAAAGTTTGGGGCCGCGCAAATTCACTTTTTAAGGGACGTTTTCGTAGCCGTCGCCGTCGTCGTTGCGTAAACTCCCTATTAACAATCAAGGGACTTTCATACCATTCCAGAATGAGGAAAATTCAGTCAAGGAGGCCGGAGAAAAAGGCAAAAAATCATGTGACGTTGACCAGAAATTTCCCATGGAAATCCACCTCTACTACACACCTGTACTTTCTTCCACCTAATACTAAGATCTTAAAAGCTTTCCCAAAACTTATCCCGCCAAAATTAAGCCAAACAAGTACCCGGCAACCCAACTGTGGAGAGAAAGCGAAAAGTAAACCTGAAATTTTACTTTCTGACGTCCGAACTTCGGAAGGTGATATTTTACGTCTGGAACATAAGATTGCGAAGTGCTTGACCTATAAACGACGTTTTGGCTCATATACCCAGAAAAATGACCAAAAAACAGCTCGACTAGCTTCAAAGGCGATTTTGGGCAAAGTTTCCAGTAGCGAATGGGTTAAAGGAGTCCTAGGGCAAAAATCTGTTCTGTAAACTCCCTGGCTAATTACAAGATGAAGCAACGTAACACACATGCTTATTACGATGACTTGCGTCTTGGCCCCCATGTTCCGTTTCGGCAGGTGATAGGGACCTTATTGCAAGGACGACGACGACGGCAGTGAGAACGTCGGTAAAAAAATGAGTTTGCGTTCTTTCAAACTTAATGGCGTCTATTTGGACCCGCTCAATATATCAAATGCAGGCGACTTTTCCTGGAGTTGAATTCTTAAGGATTTTATTAAGGTTCAAAGAGAGGAAGGAAATTTCGTCGTTGCATGTCCACGTCCTCCATAAAACGGAAAATTAGGAGGTTTCACTTCGTAGTCGTGCAGTGGACGTCAAAGAAATGTACTAAAAAGCGTGATGCAAGTGCAGAGCTGTTGTTTTGATCATTAAACCTATTGTTTTTTGAAGTCGTCGTTGCGGTCGTCGTCGTCGTTGCTTAAGCTCCCTAATGATAGGCACATCATTAGCTTATGTCCGTTCACATGCAGACCCGGCCAGATCGTTAGATCCTTCAAACGTTACACTGGTTTAATTAGAAACACCAGTCAGGTTAACAATGTTGATCAACCCAATAAATAGTTTAATCTTAAGAAGAGTGATTGATGGTAAGAGCGTCTTTCCGATTTAATAACTCTTAAGAGTTAATTCATCAAGAGGCAGCTTGGTATCAGTGTGGTAGACAAGACTGGGGGGCAAGTAAGTAAGATTTACAAGGTATGCACAAAAACAGATCAGAAACGTGCGGTTGTACGAGACATACTAATTCAAGCATGTGGCTCAGTATTAGACATTCCAGCAAGACACAGAACCACAGGCCCGCCAGAAAAAAGGCGCGACCGTCTTACAATTAATTCCAGTGGTACCTGTGGCGTAAAACCCGGACAACGCTTTAAACTTTGCCCCATGAAAATGCCAGTTCCTTAATTTTCCAAACATCCGAAAAACGGTAGAAAATTGAATAACAGTTAACTTATGAACGGAATCCCTTGCATACTATTATGCAAATCAATGCTCGGTGATTTAGACCGCAATAGACCATTTTACAGTTGTGAGCTTAGTATCCAAGCCATTGAGTGGACGTGAGGCTGAGGTTGACCTTGTTTTGCTACAAACGTCTTTTGTTTTCTCATGAAATTATGCTTAAAAAATACCAGTTAGCGTAAGAACGACATGATTTACATAATAAAGCAGAAAGGGTTGTATCAAAACAAGGTCAACTCCAGCCTCGTTTCCACCTGTAACTGTAAAATGGTCTATTAGTCACAAGAGCTCAGACAGTACCAGAGGGTCAGTTACAGGTAGTTATCACAGTATAATCATGCACTTCACATTTTATTCTTACCGACTCATCATAGGGACAAATGGTTACAAGTTTCTTGAAGACGTCAATCAGCCATTTGGCCTGAAGAATGACTGTGTTGTTGTGCTTGACAATCTTTCCGAGGTCATGATAGAAATTCAACATAGTAACAAGCTCACGCTCAGTTTCTATGTAGCATACTTTCCGGGTAATCTCTTTAAGTTGATCAAGTTTCAGGTAATACACATCTGCAGCAACCAATCCTTGGACAACCTTCTCGAAGTTAAACCACCTGAAAACATATATAGCGGCGACATGGGACTACTACACTTTGCTGGACAGCATAAGACGCAGTGAAAAAGAAAACAACAGAGATCAAATCATTTAAAACACTAATTTCCTTTTTTTTGACAGCATTGTTTGCTTTCCAGCAAAGTGTTTCTGAGCAGTACCCTGTGACTGTTTAGATGTAAAGGGTCCATTGCATCGTTCTTAATATTACAGAACTTTGAATGAAAGTTCAAAAAATTGTAATCTGTGACCAGGCTCAATTTCAGCAGCGCCTTTAGATTTTCGTATGTTGATGGCCTAGAAAGCGAAAAGAAACTGAAGCCTGATGGAAGGTTAAACAAAATGTACAACAGCAGTAAATGTGTGATGAGGTATTGGCACTTTTTAAAACTGTGGAAGAAATAACTGATTTGTTTGGACAACGTTTATGAAAAAGGGAACCGCATACGTACATACATAGTGTAACTGATTCAGAAAAAACGCTCAGCTAGTGACCAAAATAATTCGACAACAAACTGTCAAATGCCGAATTACCTTATTCTCCTTAATTTTAGCGGGTTCTTAAATTCGCGATTTTAAAAAATCCGCGAACTTAAAGACCCGCGAAAAATAACGACCGCGAACTTTGATCTCGCGAAATTTAATGGACATAGAAAATCATGTATTTGTGTTTTCAAGGGTCCTAAACAATTTTTAACACAAGGTGTTAGTACAAGGAGCTATCATCTATCAACTTTAGATGTTAATTTTTAAAATTTTTCAAACTAAACTAGTGAGCAGCACTCTGCGAACTGTTGCTGTAAAACTTGTTTATTACTTATTTTAGCTAAAACCGTGGCCTCAAAGTTTTCTCACGCCTTGCGTAAAAAAATTTCACAGCTGCGCCTGTTCCTTTTCGTAAATCCGGCCAAACCTTCAATGTTTGCGACCATCATTAGTTTTAGTCATATTATGGCTTAAATACAGGCGGTTAGTACTTGATTGTAAAACTCCCTGAAGAAGTCTACGTTAGTTAGACGAAACGCGTAGGAGAATAAACAAGTTTTACAGCAACAGTTCGCAGAGTGCTGCTCACTAGTTTAGTTTTAAAAAAATTAAAACTTGTCACATCACTAAAGGGTGGGAAAAGACTGGCATCGCCCAACTATTAGATGAATCGTTTAGTCTTCCCCGTGAGGATCCATTTGAAGAGACTGAAGGTTCTGTTGAGATCTCCTAGAAAGGACATGTAACGATACTCTCGATACTCCATGACGACTCGGAAAAACAAGAAGACTTTTTTTATTACTGTAAGACTGACTTTTAGAGGAATACGGCTGCCGCTAAGGGACAGCATATTGGTTTTGTTTCAACTGTTGATTAACGTACAATTTTTGTAAAAAAGAAAAAATAAAGTCACTTAATCGTCAATTTCGCGAAATTAAATTCCCTGCAAACACAATTTTTTTCCGCGATCGCGAAATTAAAGATTCGCGAAATGTGCCGAGAAAATTATCGCGAAATTTAAGTCCCGCGAAAATAAAGGAGAATAAGGTACATCCATGCTCCACACACAGGAACCTCAAACAGGGCTAGTAACTTATTCGTCCGCTTGCATTATTATAATAGTGCTGTATTTCCTCTACAACAGCAGGCCATGGCCCGTATCAGATGTTTCGTAACCAGTAATCGGAAGAGCTCCCAGTAGTGCTAAGACTAACTTTCATCTACTAAAATTAACATCAACAAATAAAATCAATAGGATACGATGATATTGCATTTAGCTTTTATATACTAAACAAACCTTATGGGTACCTCCTCCCCCATGTATGGTTCTTTCTTCAAAACTTCGATTATTTTCTTTTGAAGTTTGGAAACCCCCTCATCAGAAGATCCTTGCGTATTATCAACTGAAAAGAAAGGAAGGATCACGTGACTTTCGTAGTCCTTCGAAAAAATTTCCTTCTTAATTTGGGATTCCATCTCCCTGATCTCCTTATGTTGTTTTTTGTCGGCATGTGTCCCCACTATGAACACTGGTGGGCGAGAATAGGGCAGATCTGCTTCTTTCTTTTCTCCTTCAGTAGTTTCTGATTGTGATGAGCAAATTGAGCTAACGGTGACCAACCACGACAACAAGTTTTCCAAATTCGTTTCGCGACTTGAGTTCTTTAGAGGAATGTTGAAAAATCCTCGTCTAAAACAAGGCAAAGCTACTTCATTTAATCCTTTGTTGAGATTGTAAACCAACAAATATACTGCTCGCGACGATAAGAAAACTGGGTAACAAGTATAGTAAAGATGTTGCCCAGCAAAGTCCCACAGGTCAAGAATCATGTGGTGTTCAACTGCTGAGGTGTCACTTTCAAGATTTAAACCTTCCAAACGTTGAACAAGGAGATCGGTAAATTCTTCTGGAGGCAAGGCGGGGTTGATTTCTAATTGAGGTATCGCAGGTGTTTTGGTTCTCTCTTTTCCTTCTTTCGCGTCGATGGTACCCTAAAAAAGGTTTGAAATGGTTATGATACTTAACATTCACTATAAAATATAATTCAAGTAAGAGTACAGTGGCATGGTCCGAGGGGCAAGGAATGCTGGTAAAAATTAAAGTTTAACACTCCCTAAAAAATTCAATTTATCTGGTGCTACAAAAGAACGTTTCTTGAACGAAAATTTTGACATTTTGACACCAAAACTTGTCTCTTTTTGAGTACTGTCGAAACCCGCTTTCAAACACCCGCTTAATACGGACACCTAGTCATTACGGACAGTTATTTTTGTCCCGGGAAAGGCTCTTACATTTTCGCTAATAGAATTATCCCGCTTAATACGGGCACCCGTTAATGCGGACAACGGACACTGACTTTTTTTTTATTATTAATTAATTTATTTGCATCACTTATTTACATTACTTACATATAAAGCATATAGATACATGATTACATTGCTACTATACAGTAATTACTTAACAGTCCAGATATATAATACAGAGTAGCCGAAGTAACTTAGGTAGTTTTTGCATACTCACGCGCACACACACACGTACACAGGCACTACGCACGATTACTGATTGTCCGCCTAGAAACGTCCCGAAGGAGCTGTGAGGTTCGACGAAGAAGGTGGAACTTTAACAACGTTAGGAGATCGATCTTTTGCTGCTGCTGCTCCTCAACTATGGAATTCATTGCCCTATTCAATTAGGCGTAGCCGCTCAGTAGTATCTTTTAAAAAGACACTCAAGACATTTTTATTTCAGAAAGCTTTTTTGTGATTTTATGTGCTTTTTTAATCTCGTTTTTAGCAGGTTTTATGCAATTTTTTACGATTTAAGTAGTCTAGGTAATTTTTATAGTTTTAGTGTTGACATAATTGTTTTACTCTTTTTGGTAGGTTCATGCACTTTTTGCATGTATATTTTATGCACTTATTATTATTATTATTATTATTTTTTTTATTTTATTTTGTTTTTATTTTTTTAATATTTTTATTTTTAAGCGCTGATGAAAATAGCAATATTGATATCGGCGCTATACAAGTATTATTATTATTATTATTATTATTATTATTATTATTATTATTATTATTAACTGGCTAGGTCACATACTAAGGAGAGAGGGTGAGAACGACTGCTTTACAGCATTAGGATGGACTACTGAAGGTCGGAGGGTGAGAGGAAGACCAAAAACTACTTGGAGAAGGACAGTCCAGAAAGAGCGAAACAAAGCTGGTTGGAAGAGCTGGGAAGTAGCCAAAGCGGTTGCACAAGGCAGAAATTGTTGGCCAGAGAGCATGGAGGCCTTATGAGCCTACTGGCGCGATGAGACTTGATGATGATGATTTGCACTCGACTTTTTATTTGAATACAGGCGATAAAACGAAATCGTAATACAGCTCGCAAAAGAAAATATACAGCTCAATTTAGATAAAAACAGTTCGAGTCACGTTTCATGTGGCGTCATCGGGTTCGATTGACGGCGCACCAGTAAAACCATTCGTGATTGGATAAAACCCACAAGAGGAAAATTCCTCCTGTAAATTTGGCGCGTTTCAGGGGATAAAAGTTCATCTCGCAGGGGCGGGGCCTAGTTCTACTAAATATTTCTTTACTGTGTTCGAAGGAGGAGAATGCTTACTAAACATGTACCGTACATAACATAGTAACCGTTTTGTGTGCCAAATTTTGCAATTTCTCTTCTGTTTTGCAATTTTTGCAACTGCGTGCAAACTTGGACATAAGACCGGCGTGACACATTTTGCCTCGATCTCATGTGCTTAGTTTTTCTTGCCCGGGAACTGGTATCTATTCTGTGACACTCGTTCACCAATGAAACATTGGCGATTTTCTGTTTACTACGGGTTTGAAATTATCGTTTTCCTCGCAGTTTTCAATTAATTTTTTTTTTGTAGGAAAAACTCCATTCCAAGATAATCGGATACGTAGACATTAGTTAACAATGTGTTCTGCACACTGTATTCGTTTTTATAGATTCAAGCAAGATCAGCTTAGATCGACCATATTTAATTCTAAAAGCTATTTACAGCCTGGTACACTCTTTTGTTTGCCACCATTTTGGAAAAATATACAAGAAGTTGAACGGTAAAAGGTTGACCTTTTCATCTCACTAATTCCAGGTGCGTTGTATTTTGAAAACAGTGCTAAGATGGTGAGTAGTGTTAGCTTAGTGTCACGTAACAAGGGTTTAAAGTGGTACACGATCCTTTGACATCTCTATCAATACTCTTTTCAGATGACTTTTAATTTTCTATATCTCAATTTTTAGCCAATTTTATTGACCATCCTACAGTGCAAAAGAATATCCTGAGGATCGTAGTCAGTGTTTGACCTGTTGTTACTTACATGTACTTACTTAGAGGTTTAACCAAGTAAATGTCAAAAATACAGTACGCTCTTACATATTTGAGGAATAATGAAATAGTAACGAAATGTAAAGTTAGAGGATAAACAATAACACTGATAAGGACAGCTTGCTAATTTCTCAATCTTACAAGCTCATCATGTTATGCACCCCCTTACCACTACCACTCACTACCCACCCCCATCTCCTCCCCATTGAACGCAGTCCCGTAATTTGCAATTATTACTAGTCAATATCTCAATAAGAATACCGTAAAATGCTGAAAACAAGCCCAGGGGCTTATATTCGAAAAAAAATAGTAATTCAAAATCTTTCGTAAATAAAAACGGAATACAGTATACAAAACATAACTGTGAGCACAATAACTAACCAAATATAGTGTTCGCAGTACCAAAGAACACGCTATTCAACATTTTCACATTTCCTACAATACACCTGGTTTACCATAACAATTGGTTCTCATCGTAGTTGATACTTAAGTTATCCAAGGGCAATTTTAAAATACATAAGCCACGGGCCTAAATACGGAAGGACTTTTAAACGCTGGTGCTTACTTTAAGAAGAAAACGGTATCACATGCATAATCTACACCGAGAGGGTGCTTACTCCCGATAACATTATAATTAGGAGCTCGAAAATTGAAGTGAAAATTGAAAGATTCTTCTAGAATATAAATCAACACGTAACGTAACAAAATATAGCCTAAATAGAGCATGCGTTTTACTCTTTTGTAAAGTAAAACTGTTCAGACACGTTAGATTTGTGACAAACAACATCAGCCTACACTAGCAACACGTCAATAGGAAATTCAAAATTCAATGTTTCGGACGCCAGTAAACTGTTTTTTCCCGACTTTTTAGGCGCTAAAAAACATAGTTCGAGTTATCGGTAGTAAAATTATATAGAAATAATGTGAGGAGAAACAAAAATTACTTTGAGCTAGCAGGAGGTTCGAGTTATCGAGGGTTCCAGTTACCAAGGGTAAAATTACAGTAAATGTAGGAAGGAAATCCAGGAGAAATCGATTTTTGTTCAAGTTATCCGGAGTCAACTGTAACTATCAAGTGTCCTTCAGTCCCGGGGTTCCATGGAAAGCGATTAAACTATCTTCCAATTAGTGGTTAATCCACGATTAATTAATTCTTATTCTCCGTATAACTAATCGTGGCTTAAAAAGAGGTTGATAAAGGCGAAATTATCCAACGATTAACTAATCCGAGATTAGTTCTAGAATAAACCGGTTCAACTAGGTTTGGATTTTGGAATGCCTGCTTTTGAAAATATGGCGCAAAAAATGTTATGCGCGGGTCGCGGCGCGGTGGTCGGCGCAGGTGAAGTAAACAAAAAAAATGGCGGAAAACTGCCGAGAGCAAAAAATGCAGTCCTAAGAGAACTTGTAACGATGATGAAAGCGCATGGTTTTTCCTTATCTGTCCCTGGAGGTCGTCCTTGAGGATTTCTACCACGCAGCTATTTTATTGACTCTCGGCGTAACCTAAATCTGCTGCGTCGTTCTTCATCAGTGAATTACTTGAGATCATTTTCTCGCTGTTGTAACTTTCTTTCGCGTATTTGTGGACCAAATCAAAGTGGACAGTAAGTTTGCCATTTCTTTTCTTTAGACAAGCTTCCCCGATGAGTTAATCGACCTCGCTAGGTGGGTTAACTTTAACAAACAGTTTATTCCTGGATAAGGTTTGATTGTGCTTTCAGGAACAGAATGAAATCATGGGATATATTTCGCGATAAGCGATCTTTTATCCTGGCCAATTTGAACTAATTGGCTTTCCAGGAACCGGCGCCATGGTTTTAAGTATTCTCGCATTTTCTTGTTCACGAGCAAGCTAATTAGAGGACAATAATCACTGACCTGCCTAATTGGAGGTTTATCTCGAGGCTTTGGATCCATGTTTGCTCCTTGTTTCCCAGGTTCTTCAGAAATGTTAAAACCAAACTTTAAAAAAAGAAGAAGAGAGACTGGGTTAAAAACAGCACATCATCGCATATACGTTCCTACATTATCAGTACGGACCATCAGCAGCCGGACTGTCAGATGATTGCTATGGCTAGTAAAGCGTGCATTGAGGCCAACGGTGCACCTTAACACCTCCCCTCCCCCCCAATTTCCACCAGTGCTCCGATTAAAACTGCCTACAGCTTCATGGAGAGGAAAGAGGTGGAAGGAAGGATTTGAAGTCACACCTAGAGTCTCAGTCAATAATGTTTGGACACTTTGCTGTCTTTTTGGTGGGATTTGGTGAGTTAACAGCATTGGGAGGACGAGGAGACGGGCCAGAAGTGAAAAACCAGTGTTGGATGGAAGTGTCCCAACTATTTTTGTCTGAGACTGTAGTAATCGTACTCGGGACCTATCGCACAGAACGCCACGCACTAACCAACTGTGCCAATCCGTGCTCCAAGCAAGCGTAGCCTGCGTAGCATGCGTTTCGGATCGAGTTTTTGCGCCAAAGTTTCTTTTTCACTCTCTTCTCTTCTTGACGAACTCGCTTGCTACGCAGGCTAAAACAAGAGGTCATAATACGACCTATTATGATCTCTTGTTCCAAGGTATTGACCCTTTTTCAAAAAGACGTCTGCATTCACGTTGAAGTATTCACCCGGACCCGTTTATAAGGTATTTCCGCATTATATATTTCGACACGTAGACCAAAGGTCACGACAAAAATTTGCCTTTACGTAAATTCCTCCGCAAATTAACAGTGTAACTTAGGAGCCCTGTACTATTAAGTTCGCTATAAAAGCTGATACAATCCTTGTGACGAGAATACCTGAGCCAGCAAAAATCAGTTTTCTATACTAACTATTACACAATGAAACAATAATATAAGGAAACCACTACGTCTTAGTGACCCTATCATCTCATAATTCAATGAACTTTTGCTTATAGGATTTAATTATATGAAAGTAGATCATCGCAGTTATAGACGCAACTTTTGCAGTTGCGAAAGGAAAGCCTGAAAAAAATTCTGGCTTGTACGGGATTCAAACACTTGACCTCTGCGATAACGGTGCAGGTTACCAATTGAGCCAACAAGCCAACTGGAAGCAGGTCGTTAGCTTGTTAGCTCAATTGGTAAGAGCGCTGCACCGGTATCGCAGAGGTCAAAGGTTCGAATCCCGTACAAGCCTGAATTTTATTCAGGCTTTTTTTTCGCAACTGTAAAAGTTGCGTCTATAACTGCGAGTACCTTCATATAATTCTTCACCCCGCAGTTTACATATATGATTTTCATACATTTTTTCTTGCTCTATATTAATTATTTAAATAACGTATCGACGCTCGTCGAGCTGATTTTATTCGCTGATGATACTAATGTATTTATGTCCCATAAAGATCCTGTCTACCTGGCAGCCTCACTCAATTCCGACCTTAATAAATTATCCACTTGGTTTAAGGCAAACAAACTCTCCTTAAACCTAAAGAAAACAAACTTTATGTTATTTAAGCCTAGACAGAAAAGGTATCATTTTCGTATGCAAATATGCATAAATGAACAGAGAATCGAACAGGTTAAGGAAACGGTCTTCCTCGGTGTAGTCCTTGATGAACATCTGTCTTGGAAACCGCACATTTCTCAAGTAGCTGGTAAAATCTCGAAATCAATAGGTGTCATTAATAGAGCAAAATTTTTTCTACCTAAACCCTGTCTAAAAACTCTTTATTACTGTTTAGTTTATCCTTATCTTCATTATTGTATTATTGTCTGGGGATCTACGTACAAAACCAATCTTCGCCGTCTTGTCTCTTTGCAAAAGCGAGTTATCAGAATTATTTCTAAATCAACTTTCGATTCTCATTCAGACCCTATTTTCAAAGAATTAGAGCTACTAAAACTTTCCGATATTAGACAACTAGAATTGGGTAAACTTAACCATTCTCTTTTGCCTTCAAAGTTCAACAATTATTTTTCTTTAAACAAACAAGTCCATAGCTATGCCACTAGATACGCGAACGATTTTCACCTTCCTTTTTGTAGAACAAACCTTCGTAAATTTTCTGTCAGTTTCCAAGGACCTACTTATTATAACTCTATAGAAAATGATATTAAAGAATCTAATTCTCTCCACTTATTCAAAACGAAATTGAAAAAAAAATTATATATGAATTATTAGTTATAAATCTTGTAGTAAATAGTTATCTTTCTTCACATGTCTGATATTATTTTTATACTTATTGTTACATGTACCATACTTTATATTTTGTCAACTCAGTCTATGTCATTAGTTAATTTATACTTACCTTCATTGTATTTTACTTTCGATCCTGGCCTTACTGTTACTGTTAACTTTATTTTTACTCTGAGGGAGCCCAATGTCTATAAGCCTCATGGTTTCTTTTTGGGCTTCCTCGCCACTTTCATTTGCTTTTGTGTAACTGTCTTGTTTTATCGTTATTTGTATTTTGTGGTAAATCAAATAGAGATTTCATTTCATTTCAAGATTTCTGGTTCGTAATATTTTCAGTCGCCTGTGGCAGGCTTTACCTTGAAAAGCTACATAAACACTTGATAGAACCTGATGTTTGTTTCAATCCAACCATCTCGACGCCCGTGATGTACAGAAAAATGAACAAACAAACAAAACTAGAACTTAGTCACGCCTTATTGTTTCGGCGCCATTGATTATCACTGACACTACTCTGTTTGTTACTATGTTAGAAATCTATAACGATTCTCGTTTCTCTATTTACTTATTTTGTTAGTCTTCTGGCGCCTTCCAGACACCCACTCACCTGACCCATTTTTTCATCTTGAACTGTATCCATTTCTGTTTCTTCTTGTTCGAGTTTTTCAGCTACCATTCCCGCAAGAGTGTGCGCAAATTGAGACACACCTAGATTATCATCAGTGCGTTTCCAGCTCTTTACTTGATCGACGTCGATTTCAAATTTTGAAAGGTCCATTTCAATTCCGTCAGTACTCTGCTTCTCGGAATCGAACGGAAGACCTAAGAAAGAGCTCTTCATACTTGTCTTGCCTGCTCGATCTTGACCTATCAACATGATTCGAGCACGGTATACCTTTACTTTTCCAGTCTTCAAAGCATTTTCATAGGCAAGAATTGCTTTTCGTCCTCTTGCTTGGATCTCTTTTGGAGCTAGAGGCAACATTCAAATGAAGAAAAAAAATGAAATAATACATAATAACATGTTTTATTGGAGATTCTAAGAAGGCTTTTCCTATTAAAATAACGGTCAGCCAAGAGACATAAATGCCCTCATTTTATCTGAACCTGTAAGAAGTGTAGAGCGCCATTTGACTAAAGTAGCTAATAAGTAGGTTTCACATTTTTCTTAGAAGGCGACTAAGCAAAAAATCTCTTTGCAGGTATTTCTCCCTTAAAGTGTAACTGAGTAATTTGTTTTACCTCGCAATGCAATTCTACCCTAACGCGAATTCTTATGGTGCAAACGGGCAATAATTGCTCCTATGCCACTGCTAACTTCCAGCACTGAAAAACTACAAATCAGCATAGTGTGGCTTCATACCTTTGCTTAGCGAGATGTGATCACGGTGACCGTGTCTTGAAGGCGGTTCTTCGTTCTGGAAAGGAACTCCGGAGACCTTTCGATTTTCTGTTCCTTGCAGTTGCGACGAACCAACGTCACGGAAACTGCTGTGTCTTGAAGGCGGTTCTTCGTTCTGGAAAGGACCTCCGGAGACCTGTCGATTCTCTGTTCCTTGCATTTGCGACGAACCAACGTCACGGTAACTGTGTCTTGAAGGCGGGTCTTCGGGCTGGAGATGACCTTCAGAGATCTGTCGATTCTCTGTTCCTTGCAGTTGATCATTCTTTTCTTGAGTTTCCTGTTTAGGATCGTCAGTCTCTGTCAAACCTGGAGCCTTTTGGGAACCTACTACCTAATATACAATTGATTTGATTTTAGAAAATAAACTCAGCGGGAATCATTTAGTTAATCAGTGCCGTAGCAACCGAGAAACACAGTTAACTAGTGAAAGGGGGTAAATAGCAAGTTTAAGTTGGGCGCGAGGTTTGAGTTGCCCGAAGTTGACTCTATCCCGAAGTTTTTAAATTAAACGCGGCGAGCATCCCCTAATCCTAAGGAGTTTGGGTCCCTTAGAATTCTGTACAATTGCAGGTCCATTTGGCTTCTTTCAAATATATTTCTACTTTGGACAAGGCAGACTGTAGTCTGGCTCCAGAGATCCGTTCTCAAAATACCTAGGATGAAATAACCGCGTGCACACGGTTTAGAAAAGAGACTGGGGTTATTTAACACTTTTTCAACAACCGCACCTCGGATATGAGATGAGAAATAGCCAACGAGACGCGTGGCGCCGAATTGACTCATATCCCACAAGATCAAGGGGAATAACTGTTTAATTAAAAACGCTAATAGGCTAAACTACCAAAACTTTATTTTGTAAAGAGAAACCGAAAAAGATAGCCTGAATTTCATCCGATTACTTCAAGTCGTTATTACTCCATCAGTAACGTCTGAATCGACCGGCCGTTAATGCAGTCCAGTGACGTCACTACTCCTTCGCTTTAATGCGTGCAAAAAGTAAAACACGATTTTCAAGAAAATGTCGTTTAGAAATGTCTACACGATACAGAACAGCTGACAGAATTGCTTTACTCTTTTCGATCGTAATTCATGTTTTTAACGTTCAAACTATCAACTGCATGCAGTACTCTCGGCGCAATCACGCAATGAAATAAATACAAACGCGAAACACTTAGTTCCAAAACACAACAATTTCCTTTCATTCAAAAGAAGCTATTTGGTCCTTTACGAAGAAAAAAGAAAACAAGGAAACAAGAAAGAAAAGCTAACAGAATCATTACAGTTGAGGGTGAAAATAGCAAGAAGGTCGAATGACAACATGACATTGGTCTGCAAAAACTTCGCATAAACAAAATCACTGCGGAAAACACTCAGCGGCTCTAAATAAAAAACCTACCGACTCTGCGCAATGATTCTTCATTCGCAGTTCAATTTAGCAATTCAGTTTCGAAGACAAGGCCATTTTTGCTGTTTACGATAAAGATTATCGAAATGTTTGAACTCCACGCAAGCATGCCACCGATGCGATCCGCTGAATATCAAGCGTCAATCCCGCTAAAATTTCCCATAATTATACATAATTATGCGAATGTTTAGACAATTAACCAATCAAAATCACTACCCGGTTTTCGGGTAGTGGTGACGTCACTGGACGGTATTAACGGCTAGTCGATTCAGACGTTGCTGAGAGGAGAAAACGACTCGAAGCAATCGGATGAAATTCGGGCTACGAAATAGACAAAAGACTTCCTTCCGGTCTATCAGAACAGTCACATTTGTATAAGTGTACTGTTCTCAACGAACGAAAAAATCTAAACTTGCCAAGACTTTTGGAAATACTTACACTCCTCGGATAACTAAAAAGGTACCGGTACAGTAAACAAAACGAATTTAAATACTGTTTAAAGTAGCACCGCCGATGCTATTGTATATTTAAAAATTTGACTAACCGCCTCCTATTCCCTTGCTGGTCGCCACGTACAATGTTTGTGTAAAGCATTGTACAAAACTTGCCATGTGAACAGAAGCTAAAGATACCTTGTTTTCCTTGGAAATAGGTTGTAGATATATTTCGCTGAGTTGGCGAGTGACTTCGCGATCATGACTGATAATTTAGCCGTCAGTTTGAAGCTAAGAGGGCCCATTTCCCCTCCCCGAGTATCTGTCATGTTTTTCGGAGAGGCGCAAATGTCGCAAATTGGGGCCAGCGGAATCGTACTAAAACTGCACCAGGGGGCTAAAAAATGTGAACATGCGGGAGACAATTTAAAAATTAAGTTTGCGTTGAAAAGGATAAAAAAAATCCATGCCATAAATAAATGAAGCAAACAGTACTAACTCCACAAATGGAACTCAGCACTACCAGAGAGCTTAAAAATTGACCATAATAATTATAAAGAACATAGCGACCTGAGAGTTTTCCCGATATTTCCGACGGACTCCGAGGAAGGACGTCTTAACCGTCAAAAATTTTACCACAAAAGACAACCAGAGAATGTGTCGCTTTGTAAGGATCAGCTTGTAAAAGGATGACACGTGTATCCAGTTTGGTTGGTTTTCACTGTCACGCCATAAAAATCGAAACCGATCCATAGAGTAACTCCAGAAACCGGAAACTGAATGGGGGTAATATGTTCAGACCCACGCTAAGATTTAGGTCAAAGCAATTTTTCGTATGCGAGATATTTGGAGAATTGATTTACTTAAATTTATAGAGCTCTGCATGGAGACGCCATCCGAACGGGCACCAACACGGCGGCCGGAAACCAAGAGAAACATTTGAGACTGAGTTTTGCTATAACAGCGTGAATTCATCTCTCGCGGAACACGTAAACAGTAAAGTACCACTTTTTATAATACAATGACTGTTCAGATAGCAAAATCTCCTAAAATAAGTTACTTTCCTAACCTACATGACAGCTCTCTCTCATTCAAGCTTACTCCATCAAAAGACGAAGAACCCTTTCAAAGTGATATTTTTACAAATATTAGTTTTTAGCTGCTCTAGTACTTTAATCGATAATTCAATGCAAATGATGGCGTATAGACACGGATTTTTAGGTCTCCTTGTTATATCTTATTTTCCTTTTAGATATCCATTCTGCGGCGCTGAATTTTGTTCCGGTGTTTTATAAGTCAACGTACTTGCCAACAATACAATTTTCTTGGCATGGTCTTGGTTCAAGTGGCTATACGAAGCAAGGATATTTCTCAGCTCGAACTTGGATATTTGAACATTGGTCTTTCGACATTTGCATATGGCTAAACTGCTGTGTCCCAAGGGATAGTCGTTCATTGTCTGAAACAAATTATCTCGCCCTCGCTACAATGGATTCTGTATGGTCCAGCTCTCATCGATGTAAACAAAGGCGCAAGCGTCCGCGATATTACAAAATGCCGGTTGCTTACTACAGCAACTCCATCGCAACACAAAGGCTATTAATCCTGAGTGGTGATATTTCTGTGAATCCGGGCCCAGCACAAACAGTGACATCAAGCACCCAGAAGTCAAAACAAAAAACAAATTCCAAGCGAAACATAACGAAATGTGATTGCTGTGAGAAGACGATAAGAAGAAATCAAAGCAAGCATAACTTGCTGTGTTTGTATTGGCTCTTTCCACCTGAAGTGTTTCGGCCTGACAGCCTCCTCCTCTACCTGGTTATGCAGTAACTGTCTGGGATCTGCTCTGCCCTTTTACAAGTGCTCTGATGCGGAAATGTTGGATGATACGCTCGATTTGTCCGCATCTCTTGATTCTGGCCTTGATATTC